AAAAAAAAAAAAAAAAAAAAAAAAACAACGTTAGGGCAGATATATTAGTTAGTAGCAAACCTACCCAAAAATCTACAACACAACTCAGGCTTTCAAGTTAGAAAATTTCAATTTTCATATAGCAGGCTACATATACTAAAGCTGCAAATTATGTGATGTTATAAATATTTACTTGCATAGTGTTACTAACTGAGAAACTCATCACTCACAGCTACACCTCAAAGTCCTACCAATTTGTCCAGAAAACACTTTGGTTAATTCAGTGCCTACGGTTAGTCATTTCCAAATGCACATGCATCCTAAATCACAATGGCATCTGCTCCTGATCATTAGTGCTCTGACCACCTCCACCCCCAAAAGCCTTTGTCTAGCCAGATGATGCCAGCAAAGCACTGGATGCATTTAGCTTTTCTTGGCTCAACAAGACAATCAACCATTTCATTTCTGTGGAATTATCTTCTATTTTGGCAGCAAGTGAAGAAGAGGGCAAAGCAAAAAAAATCTATAGATTATTATTTTCCTTCACCATAATCATGCAATTCTTACACAGCAAGCACTCTGAATTTTTCCAGTAAGAAACTGCATATTATACATTCATCTGCAGGACCATATAATTCTCACATAATGAGCAAGAATGCATACAACTTGCACTCAATTTTGTAACATACTTTTTTCTTTACAACACTGTCCAAACTCATTTTCTGCTGCATCTCAATACAGCATGCAAAATTCTCAGGACATTAAAAGTGTCTAATTACTGATGAGTCAGTCCTGGATCACTGCTAATTTCCTTGGAGTGACAGCTTATCCAGATGTTACTGTACCCAAAATCTGTTTTCTTCCCCCCAGATTTCAACATTATAGAGGTTGTGGAGCAGCAGAGAAAAATGGCCCTCCCCCTGGGCTAGGCAGAAACTAGTGAGGAGATTGAGCTACCTACCTGCTTGTAAGGCAGGTGGTGAAGAGAATGCCAGAATTTTCTGAAGGGCCTAAGAATAGGGCTTATTAGCAATTTGAGAACTTTAAACTGAGAAAAGGAACACTTTAAATTAAAAAATCCTAGCAAATAAAAATTCTGCAAGCCCACTCTCTCATTCAACAAGATAATCATCATCCCCTTTTAATAAATGAGGCTGTATGATTTGGTCTACTAGAAAGGAGGAGATAAAACATTACCCACGTACTGCACGTTACTGTAGCACCATGATGCCAGTCATGACCTAGGGCCTTAGCAAACTAGACATTTTGTGGTTTACAGTATTCTACCCTAGGCACATTACAGGTCTAAGGGATAAGGACCAAATGAACCTACCCTCTCAGGGGGGAGGGGTTGGCATCTTAACTACTGGATTCTAATTGTATACGATAAACAAGATAAAAATGAGAAAGTAGAAAAATTTGCAAAGGATAGCAAATTAGAAAATTCCTTCTCTAGAGCTTAAAGGAGTTGAAATAGCAGTTCAGAGACTAGACACTTGGAATGGTTTGATCCTCTAAAAACTGTTCAAGAAAGTGGCTTTATTGCCACCACCATTGTTCTTCTAAATTCATATATTTATCTGTAAAGTGGGTGCTTAGCCCTCAGGAGCAGTACCCTGAATACTGCATGTTGGCTCCTCCCTTGCCTCCTATACAGAAGTCCCCAGTACAAGCCTCTCTTTCTTACGTTTCTTTTAGATAGATCAGGGAACCTCTTGTTTTACTGTTTCTGCTCAGCCTTTGACATCTGGCAAATCCTGTAGTCAGTAAATATATTGGCATTGGAATTACTCAAATCAACTAAAGGGGGTGGGAAGTAATCCTTACACAGGGCTGAGCATGTTCCGGTGTTTCTTTTGTACGATGCAAGTGACTTGCGTGTTGAATTACAGCTAAGCAATTCTGCCTGTTTCATGCTGTGTGGAAAATAAAACTGAATGCTGAATTAAATGGGAATTCCCACTAGTTAAGTTGTACAGTTATTTGAAGAAAATAAGTACAAATTCACTGAAGTGTCAGCTGTTTTTTAAACCAGGGGTCAGCAGTGCCTTTGCCAGGAACACCTGCAACCTTGACTCGTAAGATGTTGGTGTGCCAGGGGCAGACGGCAAGGGAACTGCAATGGGCCCGATCTTTGTTGTGGCAGCACAGCTCCAGCCCCTTCCCTGCCGTCCACCTCAAGGCACGCACGCCAAGCAAAATGCGTTCACATGCCATGCTCTGTAACCTAGCTTGTGGTATGCCAATAACACGTTACATGTCATTATGCCATACATTACATTACACATTTCACTTAAGTACACAATGCTAGTGTTCAAGCTTTAAAATTATAATCATATACGCAGTGAGAACATTAACAACCACTCAAACCAAATAATCTCAACTTATACACGCCTCTGCAAACAAAATACAGAAAAAACCATGTCATCCAACAAGTAAATTACAACCCACATTAAATTAAGTACAGAGCTGAAACACACTATTTCATTCCCATTCATTAAGACACTGAAGTGTCAAACTGCACATGTGTACACAGGTCCCTGGCAGATATTACCTTTACCGTGCATCTGTCATCTCAATTGCACGCTAAATTGTAGCTTACCACATGTTCAGGGAAGTTATGACAGGATAAAATGGAAAACCAGCCATAAAGACGTTCCATATTGAATGCAGAATATCTTTGAATGTGGCTGATTTGCATTCAAATTGAACCGTGGCACTTGTCCTGGACCCAGGGCTGCAAATACCAACAATCAGCTGATCATCAGCATCAGGAAGCCCCAAGGTCTGGGACATGGCTGTCCCATGCCAGATACCAGGGATCAAGCAGGGTGGGAACCCTTTGTCATGAAGACAGCCCTGGGTCCTGGTCAATTTAAGACCTGGGGCAGTCCCCTGTCCTGCAGTACAGGGCTTTAAATGTCCCTGGCCCCCTGTGCAAAGGGAAAGCATCAACTCCACATGCACACTAAAAGTTCCATGCTACAGCCAATGCCACAATGCAGCAGCTGGGGATCAGGCAGCTCCCAGCCTCAGCAGTGGCATGACTGGGATCTGAAGAATTTGATGCCCAATCCCTGAAACTGTGCATCCTGCCATGCACATGTAGCATGGCAGAAAGTAGAATTTTGGGGATCAGAAATAAAATTCCTTAAGTCTCAATCATATGATCATATAACCATCTGCCAGTAGCCACACAAATTTTATAGGCACATATGTAAGTTGTTTATTACACACAAACTATGTACAAAAGCAAAAACAAGTCTAGGAAAAGATTACGGTTTCAAAAACCAAATCCCACATGTAAAGCTGTCTTGGTTGGCTAGTTCTGATGTCAGGGCTCTGCAGACTTCTCCACTAACAGAAGGCTTAGCTCTAGGAATACTTTCCTTGGCTGGCATGTCATCTAGGTAGCTTGGAGTTTTTCAACAATTTCTTTCCTAAAACAAATCCCTCATTTCCAATCCTTTGTTCCAGTTGTAGCATCTGCTGCAGCTAATTTGGTTCTCTTCACAGGTCTAGTTCAAATTTAGATCTACAGCAGTTCTCTATTATTTAAGCTAACAAAGTAACTGATGGAAGTAGTATATTAGTCATCCTCCACATGGGTTAGTCACTAGCAAAAGGACAGGCCTCTATTTTATTAGCTGGCTTTCACAGCCATTTGTTCATAACAAAGGAAATGAGAAAATTAAAATGGACTATATTCCTGTTCACCTTATGAGACGTGTACTCCAAACTAAAAGTCTCTTCTGTTCCTGGCTTCTTTAACACATGCAGGTATGTCTCCTACCTGCCCCTCTTCAATTCCTTTCCTAGCTTCCCTCCAACTCCCCGCTCTCCCCCTCTTCAGGTTCTTCATCTGTCTTCTTCCCAGTCCTTCTGTTTACCAGGCCACACTGGCTTGCCTTTCACTCGCAGTCAGGCAACTACTGCTCTTTCTACCTGAACAATGGTGGTGGCAATAAAGCCACTTTCCTGAACAGTTTTTAGCGGATCAAACCATTTGTTCTGGACATCAGCAGAACTAATAAGAAGAACAAAGGAGCACAATCTCTCTGCTCAGTTCTGGGTCACACCAGCCCCAGAAGCCAAGAGAAGCACATGCAGAAGTCACACTCAGCTCCCGTCTATGGAAGCTTCAGAGGATTTATCCAAACTAACAGATCTTGACAGAGTACAAACAGATTTTCAGAGTCTTGTTTCCTTAATTTGTTTCTGTCAATTTCCCATGCAATATTTGCATTATATACTGCAGCAAGGAGCGTCTCTGAGAACAAGTTACAATTACACTAGTACTGAATACTAGCAACATTATATAAATAGTCAACATAAAAATAGTTGGTACTAATAGGAATTAATATTTAGATAATGACTAACATGCACTTACTATCTATCTCAACTGTTGACGTGAGAATTTGGGTAAAAGTCAAATACAAAGACAAGAATAATTAATCAAAAACTGTAAATTAAATTCCATTAGTTCTGGATTTTCCAGGTAATGAGTAAACTGAAGAGATGATTAAAATGGATTCACGCTTTATTTCAAATTCTCTATAGCTACATTATGTCACTAAGGAAACATGTAATTTAGAACTACAATTTGCATACTGTAAGTAAAATGAATGAATACTTGTGATACAAGCTAATTAAGAGAAGGTAAAATGCTGAAGACACCTTCAATGCTTTATTAAAGGGAAGAATTCAATTATCTCATTTTACTGAACCTTAAAACGATACAAAGCTAGAATGTAACATACCACAGTCATTAACAGCTTATCAAACCACTGCAGTTTGAGTTCTGATTTTGGCCACATGTCTGGTCGTAACGCTGTCTTCAGGAGGTTAACACAACGTCGAGAGAGCAGCTCTCCAGCAGATCCAGCAGTGTTTGAGTTGTCATTTACCTAGCAAATGATCAAAATCCAAAAATCATAACTATTTGTACCTGGGTTATTAATTTATTAAACATCATGTGTAATTATATAATTCCTCATTTCTGGAAAGGCTCAACTAAAGTAATTGCATCACCACAGTTACATGGTACTATATCTACAAGAAAGCTGGTTTTTAAGCTGTTAACCAATTACTGGAAGATTTATCAAAGGGATAACAGGTTAAAAATATTTTAAATATAAACTAATGATAAAGCTCAACAAAAGATTTCACAGTAAATAATGCGAATATATCAATCTTTTCCGTTTGCACATTGTCTATGCATAGTTTATTGTTCTTTAGCTTATTCAAATGTAAAATGATTCTGTTAGTAAAATTTACAAAAGCATTTTAAAAGTGTTTTATGAATCTAAAGGTGGAAATAGACATCAAGCTTCATATTCTTTGTGCCACCATTACAGTCTTTTACAGAGGCACAAAGTGAATGCAAATAGATGTCTATACCTTTTGTTGCACCACAGCGTGGTTGCAACAAAAGATAGTAATAATTTGTTCTGCTTTATTGTGGTGGACATCCATTTGCTTCATGGCAGCAGAACACAAGCTGCCCAGAGTTGCCTGCACTCTCCAGCCTGCTCAGCTTTCCCCACTGACCAACGCATGCCCTGATATCCTAGGGATGCATCTCATCAAATGGGAAAAGCCGGATAGGTGCTCCCAGGGCTCCATATTGCCCAGGAATTCCCTGGGTGCACAGGCCCAGGCCCCTAAAGCTCCAAGAAAATACATAGCCCATTGTCCCACAAAACCAAATGGGCAGGGCAATAGGTGGCATGTATTTTGCCCAATGAAGTGGATTAGCTGTGCCAGGACACATCCTCACACAGGTGATCTGATTCATACTGCAACACCTATTTCCACTCCAAATTCTAGTCAGAACTGACTCATGCACTTAGGATTCTTAGTTGCCATAGAACTCATTTGACTGCCAAAGGCATGTTGGCGGGATAGAGGGGGCAACTGTACTTTGGAAAATGGTGCTTTGCATAAAACTGAGAAATAATCTTTCTGCTAAAAGTTGTATGGGAGAAATTCATTGCTAATACTGCCACTCAAAGGGGTTTTGAAGATGCTTTAAACACAATATGCTTTGGTTCCCTGACTGGAGGAGGTCAGCTTTAATTAGGTATACCTGTTTTGTGAATTTAAATTATGGTCTCTATATACTCTTCAATACTTGCTTAAAATGTTCTTGTTGGCAAGTCTAGTAGCCAAAGCATGTAAACCTAGTACTAAGAAAAGTAAATACACTTAAAATCCAAAGAAAATTTATTAGAGAATACTTTCAAAATGTATCCCAGCTCTTGTCAACAAATCTCATTTCTAAACATTTACATTAAAATACATGCAGGTACTTCAAATGAGTGCTTTTGTCATTTGTGTTTTTCCTTTCCAGGACTATTTCAGACCGTTAATGAAGGGGTTGGAATGGATAATGAAATAACAAACATTGGCTAATACGCAGAAAAGCTGTTTCAAAAGTATAACTGAAGATATTTGCCTTTAAACTCGATTTTAATAGTTAATGTTAATCAAATACCATATAATCTTGAAGAGTAGTCAATACTCCTCAAATTAATATTGTTCAAATTCTCAAAGCTTGCAAGAGACTCTTTGAACCCATCACCAGGCAAATAATTATTTGCAGAAATTAGCTAAGAAATCATCACAAATAAGGAATAAATATGAGAGAACAATGATCTGGTGGATTACTCAAACTGATGCAAGCGTCATGGATTAGAAACGAAAAACAAGAACTAAAAGGAGGGCTGTGCAAAGCTTCAGTCCCCGATTCGATTCAGCGGAGATTCAGTGGCCATATCTCCAAATCCGAATCAAATCAAATCAGAGGACCCCTTAATCACTCTGAACCGATTCAGAGAGATTTGGACAGATTCGGCACTTTGGACATAGATACAGCTTTAAATGTTTTTTTCTACATACCTTTAGGTAACAGGGGTTCATGATCGCTGTAGTGCTGAAGCAGATGCAGCGTCCCACAGAAGCACGGGGTAACCCCAGGGCACTCGGCAGCAAACCCAGAAGTGGACCAGAAGCAGTTCTGGTCCACTTCTTGATCTGCAGGGAGCGTGCAGGGAGCGCACAGGGAGAC